TCAACAATAACTAATAGAAATTTTGGAAAATAGCTTTTAATCGACTTAATATCTAATGCATATTTTTGAATTCAAATTTCATGAAAATGAAGTAAATAATATCTATATAGCCATATATGGTATACTTATACACATGTTGGTTTTAAGGTATAAGATATTAATTATCTTTGGATTATCGATCTAAATTTTCAATTAGATAGGTAATTAACACTAATCTCTGAACCTATTTACTATAGGACTCGAATTTAAATACCCTATAAAAAAACATGACCTTAAAGTGAAAAATACTCTAAAATTTATATCGTATTTCTTCAGAAATCAAAAAATTTACGTTTGTGTTGTTTTAGTAAATATCAATATTTTTTTAATAATAATAGCAAATAGATTTCTTAGAAAACCTAGGAAAATTAAAAATGCTCTTAAAAATCAAAAACCTCAAAATATTTCATTAATAGCATAGTTTGTACTTGAAAGACATTTGTATCATGGAAAGCATCGTACCATTCCAGAAAAAAAGATGCATATGCATTTAAATCAAGTCCTACAGTAATGTCCAATAAAACATTACATACAACAAATTATAAAAATTTGGGTTTTTTTCCATCTACTGCGCAGAATACATGAGTTCRACAAGTTTTTGGTTGATGGTTTTATTTAATAATCTGAAAATTAAATTTAAATAAGATGTTGCTGAAATAGTTAGTATTTCTTGTTTCTTAGAACACTTGAGTATTCTTCATTTTTTGGTATAATAAAAATAATAATGAGGAATCCTATCCCTAATAACTACATAAGCTTAAACTGTATATCGAGACAACTAGAATTTGCTAATATTGTCAACAACCAAATATTATAACCACTTGTAAGAGTTACATTTTATAAATATCATTATGAGGTAACTCAGTGCTATATAGAGTTCTCTACTGAATATAGTATATAACATAATAATATTTATTAATTGTTTACTGTAACAAGTACACATAATAAATAAAGAGTAACAACTATGTACGAATATAAAATATGCATACTTTATTATTTAATATCATGACACAGAATACCCAAACATTTTTCTCATATAAACATGTGATTTTGACAAGCAAGTCCCCTTAAAGTGCAAGAGTATAATGAGCTCTGACAATGCCTTAGTACTGACTGTACAAATCACTTTAAATAAAATGATCAAACCTGGATTTTCAATTAATAAATATTATGTATAAATACTATGTAAGATACAATAAAGATAAAAAAAAAATAACATATATAAAGTATAAAAATAAGTGAAAAATAAAATAAATCACTATAATATTATCAACATACTGACGAACAGTTATCTATATGATCATCCAATTCAATAACATTTTTAAATATTTTTTCACAGCATGGGCATTTTAAATGATTTTTATCATGTTTTGGCTTGAGTGATTCTGTTGACATACAAATATCTAAATGTGTATTAATATTGCTCTCTTTGACCATTTTATTACAACATGGACAGTTTACATAATTAGTATCATCAGGAATGCTCTCAAAGTCATTTTCAAATACATTTATCAACATTTTACAACTATTTAAATGCTCATTCATTAAGGATCTATCAACTGTATTATTGCAAACTGGGCATTTACATTTATCATTAATTTCATTGCCAAACATCTCTTTCAATTGATCACAACTTTGTAAATGATCATTCAACCAGTCTGTTAACACCAGTCTAYTACAAATGGGACATTCAGAAGTTCCATCATACAAATCGCTAATATCTTCATCACTAAAATCAGTTTCATCACACAAATCATTCAATAAAAATAAATTCTGTTCAATATTTTGTTTATCGCATTCAGGTTCAGGAGACATTTCAGCATTCTTATCAGAAATTGTCTGTGTTGGTGAATTTGATTTATCATCAAACTGAACTTTTTGATTATTTTCTAGTGATTTAGAATATATGTCAGAACCATTATGATGAACTTCATTTACTGGAGAGTCCAATATTGTAATGAAATTTGTAATTTTATTAACAGGTTTAACATCCAATTGTTTTGGAATAGTTTTTTTTTTTTTCAATCCGAACCCTTCAGGTTCTTTGACTTTAGTAAAAACTCCACCGCAAGTAGCTTGATGATGACTCCACCACCTATCATATGGCCCTGGTGCACGATTCTTACACCTTTTTACAGATCCATAAAATGGCTTCTTATATTGACATGGACCATTACACTTCCACCAATGTATTTTGTACACCTCTACTTCTTCAGAAAAATCATGATAAATTGATATTTTAGTACCAGCTGCTACATTTATTCTGTACATGTGCTTACAAAACTCTGGTCCATGTCCATCTCTATTTATATGATCTTTGTTATTTGTAAGAAACAAATATGCATGAATCATTTCATGTAGTAATGTTTCAACTAAATCTTTTCGAGGCCTGAGTTTCAACAATGGTTCACTAAGGCTAATGGAACAAAACCCATTTTGATATCTACATAAACCAGCACAGACTGTCATCCTTTTGCTCCACTGTATCATTACTGAATCCAATGTACTCCAAAAATACTGTCGATTAAATGCCAAAAAAAGACCATGTATGTCAGGATTTGGATCCAACATTTCCCAAGAATGGTCTACAATACTTACAGTAGCCTCTACATTTTTAGGACATGGCCGTTTAATTGGTTGAGATAAATTATCACGTGCATTGCGCTTTTGTTTCTTAACATTGGTATTGATATCAGTCAAATCAATTACACTATCATTATTAGAGCCAACAGCCAAATTAGTTGTAGATTTTGTCATATCTATATAGCGTAGATCCCCATTTTCCTCGGAATTGGCGAACTCGTTTTGCAATTGTAAAGCGAATAAATAATCATTGCTTGTATCCATAATAGAATATTTACTGCATAACAATATCAATATATTTGTAAGCTAAATTTAATATTTACCTACATTACTTACTAAAGCAATTTACAAAGGAAAACCCTATAATGGCAAACATCACACTAAATATTTATTTCAATATATGACCATGATTGAAATGCTGAACCGTCAACAATGTATAATATGAAATAACCGTTGAGGTTAGGAATTAGTACTGACCATTGACCACTGAATACTAAAGGTCTGAAAAATACGATCTGGTTAAGCACGAAACTATGAAGACATAAGTTTTAATGACATAATTCTAATATATACTACAATAAACAGTAAAACAGTTATTATTTAAACTTGATAAATGATAAATGTTTTGCCTTTTGAAAACAGGCGAACATGTGTTTTTATCACTTCTTAGATAAGAACATCTCAGATACTCATCGATGACCATAGATAATATCACGATACATCGTGGATAATATATATTATCTATGCGATGACCACGACGTTATGTGGTTATAACCAGCTTGTTATAATACAATATCCATCACCACCAAAATACAAAATTCTGGTCATGAGAAAGCGATTTGTACTTTAAACTTTGTTTCTGCTGGACTACCGTCGAGGCACCGTCAAGCTACCCCACGTGAGTGTTTACCCAAAATTATATCTATCAATTGTTATGTACATGCATAGTGTGAATAAGTTGTAATTTTATTTTTAGAATGAACAGTCCAAATAAATTAATTTTTAAAATTGAAAATTGTCCCAATATGCAGGTGAATTACCGTAATAATTCACCTGCATATACCAGGGGCAGTAAGATGCCTGCACGCCGTAAGTTTATCAAAAGTTAATAAACTTTGTCTACAAATACTTCAATTTATGCTGAAATGTACCTATTTGTTTCAGGTTGTTATAATTGCATATGGTTACGGGCATATCGCCCGTAAATGTGAGTATTTTACATTTATTATATTATTTCTAGCTCATTTCACAATAAAATTGTATATAAYGTTATTTGTATTTCAGGCAAAAAACCGAAAAAAAAGTCGGCTAAGGCCGCCCCGACCAATAATAAGGGGACGCCAGTGACGGCGACGGCCAGCAGCACGGCYGTGCAGGCGGCAACGTCGACGACCGCTAACCTTACCTAACCGCCACGGCAACCACGACCACGACGACCAAATCGGCGTCAGAATAATTAAAAAACTGTAATGAATATTATTTACATTTTTAAATTATTTATTTGTGGATATAAGGAAATAGTCTCTATTAGCATTTTCTTTACACCGTAAACTTTTAAAAATATTTTTACTTGTTTTGAGATGTTCATAAGGACATTTTCCATTTTTTAAATTTTTTTTCCTCTATATAAATGCCGATAAAATGTAACCTAATTCTATGATTATCATGGTGTGGTTTACCTCTCGTAAATTAATTAAAAAATAAAAAGCTTATAATAATGTTATAATAAATGAATTTATTAAAATTATTAAAACATCTTTTTTATATTGTGACCTGTTTGCTTATAAAAATTAGGAATATCTGCAGATTTGACTTCATATAAAAACGTTGACTTAAAATTTTCAATTAAACTTCAGTTTTACCTTTTTTTCGATTAATTTCTACCACCTCAGCCAACATTCTTGCCTTGTCCGTCTCAATTTCTTGAAAAGTGTTGATCAATTTTTATCGTTTTTGTTTAGTATTAGAAGTATTTTCAATAAAACTACCTAAAATATTTAGTGCAGAAAAAATGTTGTCAGAAACTCCTAACTGTAATTGTTGGACGTGTCTTCGAAGTTCATGTATGTAGTTTTCAGCTTGGGCACCACGTATGAAAGGTTTAACAACAGCAATTTCTTCCTCAGTTCCTCGTCAATTACTTCATCAGCAAAATCTGTCTCTGACTCACTGAGAATATCAGATGTTTTAAAAATTTCTGCATCGATTTAATTTTCTGATGTGCTCAAAGTAGAATCAATATCCAAAAATTCTTGATATGAAATTTTGATATCAGAGTGTTTATCTAATCTGTCATATATTCGAGTTAGTGAATCATAATAGGCGTTGGGTACCGGATATGGATAATGACTTCGACTTACAGAAATATTCGACTTATGGAAATTCGATAGGTATACCGAAATAACTTAATACTAAGTCCAATACTGAATGATCGGGACTGAAAAAAATTCGAAATACCGAGGTTTCGCTGTAATATCATGTAATATACATAGTAATAATAAGATATTATAATTAAGATCAAGGTTTGAACTTTTTAATTTTAAGCATGTTTCAAATATTGATAATAAGAACAACAAATGGTATAATATTTTAGTCCTGCACAATAAAATACCTAGATGATATAATATTATTATTGTATTATACTCTGTATTCTGTAATATTCATATACTTTTATACTATAACTTATAAGATCTATTTATCTATTAACATGTTGACTGCTGTCTGCTATGGGGCCACAAGAATATTTATCATTAGTACGTCAAGGAAATTTTTCAGTGTCATTATAAATTTGTATAATTATTATATACTATTGAATTTGAAAAAAAACAAAAGTACAAAAAAAAAATGTTAATATTATGTTTATAGTTTATTACATAAAAAAAAATACAATTATTCCCGCTACACCACAGTGCATTTTCTAGATCATTATTGTAGCGCCACGGAAAAGTTAATTATATAAATCCAAATTAATTTAGACCGTATGGCCTCCAAGGAATGATATTGTGCGGCATTCGGCGGTCTAAAAATCAATACCTAATAATTTTTATACGGACCCCGGCGGCCGCATTTCAGTGAACGTGTTAATTATTATAGTAATATTATACTTAGGATATCACATAAAATTGTGAAATAATACCTACTCGTATAGTCGTATACTATAACCTTAACAGTTGGCCTAACATTTTATGGTAGGTACTAGTTTGGTTGACGCCAGCCAACCCGCGTATTCTCCCGCCATTCAGGTATATAGTTAACGCCCGCTACTTATATTTTTCGTATTTTCTATAAAATTTGGAATTAGGTAGGTATTTAAAAATAATATCAATTTTAATACAATAAATATAAAAATATGAAAAATTATATTTTTTTTTTTTTTTATTAGAAATAAGCCTCGGCTGCGGAGGCCATTGGCTGACATAGTTTACATTGTTAATGATAATTGTTGTATACACTATTTACATTATTTACAAAAACATTACACATATTACAAAATAATAGATTATAGATTGTTAATTAGGTTGGTCTTGATTAAAAAGGACATCATGCGGCTATGTTGTCTGGGTGGAGGGCTTCCGATATAATATTTGATACTCCAGCTTCTTGTTTGTCCGATTCGAAGGAACGGCATTCAGATACGATGTGTTTGATAGATAGAAGTGTACCACAACTGGCGCAAATGGGTCGGTCTTCTTTCTTCATCAAGTACTGGTGAGTTAGCTGCGTGTGTCCTATGCGCATTCTATTTATGGAGACTTCCATCTTTCTTGAAAATTCAGGTGGGGAATGCCATGTGTGAATGGTGTTTTTGATTTGGTTAAAAAATTATATTATATATTTTATCTACGAGTAATATTATAAAATGCMGGTGGCCAAAATTTGTATGTATCTAAGTATTTCCTCAAACGAATTCATAGACAAAATATTTATTATACTTTTTCATACTTATGTTTTTATTGTGTTGTAGTTATTATTAATTTTAAATACCTAGTTTCTAATTTTATATAAATTAAATAATATAAAATATGAGATATATTAGTGGCGGGCGTCAACTAAACCAGTTGGTACCCAGTATCCATTTTATAAAATAAATTTAGTTTATAATAATCGAAATGGACTGGACTATAATTGAGGATTTGAGGCACTTCAAATACTTCAATGCCTCCGTATTCTTTAGTCCATGAAATTTCGATTAAAGTGGCTGGTGATATAACTTGTTTACAGCACGGTTTAAACCGTGGTTTACAGTAATCACCAATAATCGCCAATCGGTGCACGCCTGACAATAATCTCGCTCCGACGCTCCCTAGTGGTTAGTTACTTCTAACCTTTTTAGTTATTATTCTTGTTTGTTTTGTTTCATTTTATTATGAGTTTATGACTTATTTTTTCTTGCTGTAAATTGTAATTTGTAATGCTGTCGCCTGTCACTCGGCATCTATGGTGTGTCACGGCATTAGTGTATTGTATTGCTTCATACTGTAAGTACACAATTTTTTTCCATAGAAATCTTCTTGACCGCACGCTTTATACTCGTTTAATAATTACTATATGGATTAGACTATAGCAGTGAGTAATATTTGTGCGCTCCTGTCCACAAAGGTCACATCGAGCCCATGGTGTGCCGTGTGTCGCCATTTTGATTTGTCGTCTGTTAAATATTTTTTTTTCTCGAGAATCGAAATTCTGAAAATCGCTATTACTTAATAAGTCAATTTACTCACAGTTGCTGTTCCTATCTTGTTATTCAATGGTTTCGCATGTTTGTTTTGATTGATCATCTCTGGAATACTTGTAAGCTGAAATCACTTCTCCTGGAACCATGATCTAAATTTATCTGGGTTTATACATAGTTCGGTCTTAAAATAGATAAAGATCGACAAATGGATTGGACAAAAAACACTGAACAATTTCARCAATTCCATTTGTATTAAAATCATACACACGATGTACGACTAGACGGTTTTGGTTAATCTTTACCAACCAAATATGATTCATAATATCGTTAATTTATGAATCTAAGACGTTTCCCCCCACCGAATGGGATAATTTCCGCTCGGACAAAATAAATAAATATGAAACATATATAAATAAAATAATAATATAAGTATAATCGTGTAAATGTATACCTATTTTTATTTTTTTTTTCTGGTAAGACCTCTCTGAAATTAAAAAATTAAAAATTTCATCATTTGAAAAACTTTCACCAATAACCTAACTTTTTTAACCTATCATCTTCACCTAAATTATTACGAAAAGCTCCTGCTCTATAATTTAAAATATTGATTGATGCACTTGAGTTGTTCGTCTGTAGAGCTTTAATAAAAAGCCAAATATTTAGGTAGATGATTAATTCGCACTAGTGTTGTAAATTTATTATTACACCCTTCCGAAATATTGTTTGTTTTACCTATACCAACTTTAGTCAACTCAAACACGTTTCATATGGAAGGTGGAAATAACGGAGGTGTTCTGGTAAAAATGTACTCTAATTCTACATTTTGTTTATTTCTATAACAACCRTTAACATAAGTTGTATCAAAGTACGTAAGAATTTGATCAGCATCTTGGTTATGAAATTGTTCATATAAAATGTTCAAACCTAAAACTCAACCACAATGTGCATCTACCTAGTTATGAACAAGTTATTATTCATAATATACATACCTTTTTTGACATAACTAAATGATAAAAATGCAAGACCAGTTATCATTGCGATATCTCGTTGGAACTGTTTTTGACTATCCCATACTCTTGGATTTTACGCAATACTGATTGACATAGGTGAAAATAGCAACAGTGAATTTTTACTTTTGGTAATACTTTTTCAATTGCAAAAAACGACAGCTTTCTCAAAGTCTATTGTTATTTGTACCATTTCACAATTTGAACATTTTGCACAAATAACAGAAAGTATTTCGGTATAAGTCTGTTATGTTTTATTTTGAAGAAGTATGTACACCTAAACAATTGTCATCAAACCCATTTTAACATATAGTGTAAACTTGATTAACTTTCTGTCTGTATTAACTTTGATTCCTATAGGTGCAGTTAAAAATGTTCCATCCATACATCAATATCTTGACATTTTTAATACTTACAAACTTTCAGGAGATGAAAAAATTTTAATTCTATTTTCATTGCCATATAATAAAAATGGCTGAAGATTATCATCTCATGTTGTTGCCCATATACTAGTAACTTTCAACTCATTTACTGGTATTAAGGGTGGATAAGATGCATTTTAAACTCTTCTTAAACTTCTTTTTACCCTGTTTTTGCTGGCATTAACAACTTTGCTTTGTTAGATAAATGTATTGCAGCTTTGGAAAATATAGGCTGCTCAGAATGATTTTTTGCATTATTTTTCATTAATGTTGATGTTTTTATTACCTCAACTTCAACTAGACAGGCTCTATGGTTATTATAGTCAGTTTGTAGAAACAATAACTTTAATATTGTCATCGGTTAAGTTAATACTTCCTTGACAACTATTTTCATTATTTTTAGATTTTTTTTATACAATTCCAACGTATCCCCACTTTAACACGTTTTTGTTTAACATATAAAAAATTTTGAAATATAATTTTTTTACCAACCCCTTTATGAAACAATTATTTCTATTATATCTTATATCCATTACAAAATGCACTAGAACAAACTGTTTACACACAATGTTACAAACTATACTAACTACTAAGAGRCATAAAAGCAAAAAATGTTGTTAATAGTTGAGATAATTTGAGGTAGGTTTATCAATCATTACCCATTAAATTTGGTAAGAATTAAATAATGTGAATGATGATAATCGATAGATGCCAATATGATATATCATATTATATTATATTATGATGATTGTACATTTTGGGTAAAACCAAAGAACTTATTTTCAAACCTATTATTATGTGTAAAAAAAAATATAGAGTCGAGAGGGAATCGTCCAGGTACCTTAATTTATAAATACTATAGTAATAGTACTATAATATTAAATATCTATGTATCCATCCTATACTATCTAAAGTTTGAAAAACAATTTTTCCATTAAAAAAAAAAAAAATGTTTTAATTGTTATTGGTAAATGTATTAAATATATTTTAATACATTTAGGTTAAAATATCCAAATTAAATCGTCTTTACGAAAATTAGTAGATAACTCTTTATTTTTTAACACAATTAACATACATTATTTAATTATAAAAGTGTAGGTACCTATGCTATAATTATAAAATAATTATATAAATTACGTTTGTTGCAATAATATCACGAAATATAAAAAAAAAGCTCTTATATTAAATTATAAAATTAATTACCCTAAATATTATTGTTATTTGGCCTAAAATATTGAACATCCTGTACTTACACTAGATAAGATACTTTTTAATATACCTATTCATGTTATGCATAGTACCTGTCATATACAAATTCAAATATGTGCTGTATAATTAGAACTTTATATTTTACCAATTAATCTTTAAACACAGTTTTAATGAGTATTTTGGCTTTCAGATTAGTTACCTTTATCAAGTAATTCAAACATTTTTTAAAAACAAAAAGGAACAATAATAAAAAATGGACCATATTAATCAGCATGCAACAATGAACACTAATTTTAGTGAAAAAGCTTTTGATGCTATTTTAAATAATATCAAATTAGAAAATGATTCACTTTTTAATGACGAGTCAAGTGATACAGAAGATTCTGTTTATGTACCTTATAAGTCTATTGATAACAACGGTACAAAACAACAAGATGAAATGTATGAATCAGCATCTACATCTTTTGAAAAGAATGCTAATGATGAATCAAATATGCAGGTAACTACCTTAATCTATTTCATTGGCTTTAAATATTTGATATACAGGGTGTCCCATGTAGTTCTTATCCCTGTGAGTCTTATTACAAAACCAGAATCTTGATATCACCATAATTGTGGGAGATATCGCAATGGGTAAATCCTCGCGGGACTTCCTGTGTACCTATATCATATAATTTTTAGTTTTGAACACTATATACCGAATAATTGTTTTTTTTTTCCCCCATAGGAACATACAGATACAGAATTAGTTGATGGTAAGTGTTATTTATGGTTAATAACATTATTTTTTCTTTTACAATCATTTTAATTTTCCTGTTGATAAAGTCATGGTTTCATATGAAGGGTTGCGGGGAAAAAACGATCATAGTCAAAAGAAAGAAAAAATTAAAATAATTATAGTAACTTTTGGTTAGTTTCATAACAAATCGACATGTGAATCGAATTATGGAAAAAAAATCAGAGAACCTAACTTTAAAACTGCAATGCTGAACATTTTAGGAACATTAACTATTATCGTTTTTCCCCGTAACCCTTCATACGCTTAAGATATCTAATGTTATGATAATTAGATGGCCAATCAATTAGTATAGTTTGTTTATACAGACTGGAAAACAACAATAAAAAAAAAAATAAATAATTACTTAGATTGTATAATTCAGGAGTATTTAATGTTTTTAATTTATACTATAGAGTATAGACAATTATATCATACATGAACAAATGCTTTATTAATATTTAAAAATGCTGCTCCAGAATGTCATTTTTTTTCCAAAACTATTGTTTGTGTTTTGGTTTGAAATAAATTGTGGTGTGGAATGGCTTTAGTTGCATGCTTCAGTGTGTGACCACGTTACTAAAATTCCTATATTTTATGCCAAGACAACTTAAAATTGAATTTATAAAGGAATACTTATTAATACATTATAGCCTATAGGTAGTTAATAATTTGAAAGAAAAATAATTTCACCTGGATGACATTTCATAATTTGCTTACAATTACCAATTTTTATTATTTGACAATAATGTTGAAAAAAGGATGATTACCTATTGCAGGGGTAGGCAACCTTTTCACCAACACGGGCCATCATTTGTTTCAGTTTTTTATGATGGGTCATACAAAATTAAAATATTAAAAAATATAATTTTAACATATAATACTAATATATTTACAGATAGCAAAAATCATATTATGTGTTTAACACTGCGGTTGTCCTTATTAACTAATTTTTAGTTAAAAACTTTAGTAGAGAAAATCTAATAGTTTAAAAATAATTATTAATTAATTCTTGAGTGAATTTTAATATATAAATATTAAGTTACTAGTGTGAACTTTTAAAATTATTTATTTTAATCTGTCTAAGATCACTAGTAAGATATTCAAATTTTAATTTATAGTCTGTTTCATAGTGATGTTTAGCATTAGACTTTTTTACAGATAAAATGGTTTTTTGGCAAATGAAACATAACAATTTATCTTTATTTTCAATAAATAAAAATACAAATCTGTCCATGATATGTTGAATATATGATTTTTATCACTAATTTTACGTTTTGTTTGACATTAAATTGAAAGTTTATTAGGTTACTATAAAACATTTGAAATTTAAACTTCATGTTGGAATGTTTCGAAATGAACTTGCACTAACACCATAACCAGTTTCAATTTGTTGTAATCGACAATATATACAATTAGATTACAATATTGCTCATAGCTTTGTTCTCGCATTGTTATATAATAGTCATGATTAAATATTATTTATAACAATTTAAGCTATAAAATTGAAATTTTAAACACCATGAAATATATTTGGAGGGCCGCAGCAAAAAGTTCCGAGGGCTGCGGGTTGCCGAAGCCTGACCTATTGCATAATTATTTTTTGACAAAACTTTAAAGCATTCAGAGAAATATACCCAATCAAATATAGATATTAGAAGAGCATCAAGTGAGACTAATGTCATTTCAGTAATTTTATATTACTCTCAAAGAAAACAAAATTAATTTATACTATTAAAGATTTCATATTTTATTTAGTAAAAAAAATAATATTCCAAATTTCAATCCCAATATATAATTACAGTAAAAATCAGTTATGACGAGTTTCAAGGGCCAGCTAGTTTTTCTCATTGTAACTGATTGCTCGTTATGTACAAACATGGTTAGAACAAGCATTCATTATTAACGATTAGATGCAGGAAATGGATTATCTTTTCCAATTTGTGATGTGCGCTTCACTACAGTTTAGCAAAATATGTTCTTTATTAMAATTTATACACATTGATATATTAGACGAGGTTTTGAGTGAGAAATTAAGCTTTTGAATTTTAAATATTTATTTAATTGCTCAGGGCAGTATTTTAAGAGTTTTGAGAGACATTTTATTAAATTCATGAAGTGTTCAATGTATTAAATTTTATGAATTAACTTAAGTACAAAATATATAAAATTAAATAAATTGTTTGCCTATAAAATATAATATTGACAAAACAATATATATWCATTTTTGCAAGCCTGGGCATAAACGCGTTAAAAAGTTAAAAGTTAAGTTAATTTTAACTTTTAACTTAACTTTTTAAAATTTAATTTTCATAAACTTAATTTTTAACTTAACTTATTTGAATTGATAT